TTCTGAGTTCAAAAAATTCATTGTCAGTTTTTCAACATCTGCAAAAGTCAAATAAGCCATATCGTCCGAAATTCTACCATAGTATACACGTACATATCAAACATTTATGCTGATCTTCTTGTATGAAAGAAAGAAAAACAAAATAGACAAAATAACTGATATTGTTTTAGTTCTTAAAATAATGGAGGACAATTGACAGAGATAAAATGAAAAAATCACGATGTTCAGATTTGATTTTCTGAATAACTTTTTCTAGCAAATAGATAGAACGTTCTGTCACGTGAGAATGCTTTTATTTAACGAAACTTTTAGAAACATGGTGAAAATATTCTTCAGCAGAAATCCCAAGAGGAAAAGGCGACCTTAGCATCGTTCAGTATTGGATGCTTCGCATCTTAAGCTTTGGGATTAAGTACGGTACACCGTAAACTGGAAGTCAGTTACAGAATTGGAAAGATGATTTTCTACTTTCTCGAAATATTAACTTGATGTTCCAAACAATCACTTCCATTTTCAGTAGATTCCCTAAAGGGTTTCGCGACGTCGATCTGAATACAAAATTAATTGCAGATTTGGAAACGACAGCCTTCTAAGTTAAAGAACGTGTCAGTTTTTATATTTCTTCAAAAGGACCAGCTTTCCCTGCTGTGGTTTCCATCTTCATCGTGCGTTCCCCGACTGAGCATCATTCTTCTGTAGATTATTCTTTTTAATTCTTATCATCAGAAATTCAAGCACTGTCTTCTTCTTTTACAAATTCTTCTTTTACAAAGTATCGGTTCTTGACTTTTTTGACGTTGTCACCTTTCGCTGTCATTATCATGATCTTAATAATGTCAAGCTGTTATAGAAATCTGGAAATCAACGTCAGTTTCGTTCTCTAATTATAAAGCAAAAGATCTTTCGCTTCATAACTATACCAGGTAATACTCGTTTGCACTCGCTCGGTCTCTTGACTTTAATAAACTTATATTTACAACGACCTTCCATGATTTTGGATACAACGCAACGGTCACGCCTCGTTTCGCTCGGTGTTCGCTAAGAGACTATCTAAAATATTTTATGAATTTTTCTCTGATTTGATGTGTAAGCTTCGTAATCTATTGAAAACCCAAGAAATTTTCTTTAGGTCGTCCAAAGATCCCCAAAGGACTAAAAGCCTTTCCGAATTCAAGACTATGCTCATGCTTGTATTCGGTCGACGTTCGCAACCAGGATAGGTGAGAAATGTTGTGAACTTCTCTGATTCTACGAGCGAACCGCCTAATATAATATAAAACTAAAAATGTTTTCGGACAATCTCTGAATATTCCAACAGGGTTAGAAGTTTTCCCGATCGATTCGCTATGATAAATTATCTACATTCTGTAAGTTTTATTATCTACAGATAACCCTTTTTGTTATCAAATTTAGACTGATTTCCGGCGGCATCTGTCTCAGGACTACAGAAAAACAACCATCTCTAATCTTCTGACATGAAATAAAAGCAGCTGCCAGTTATTAGTTCGCGACCTTGTAGTCGTCTGTTTTTACTTAATAATTAAAAACATCTTTTTCACTTTTTATAGATGTATGATTCTTAGCATCAAGTTTTCCCTTTCATTCATTGCTTCTTAACGATAAAACATAGAATGTCCGGCATCAGTATATCGACTATCAGTGTTCAAATATTTCGAATTTTGCCACCCATATTAATTCTGATTGGCACACTCGGAAATTTCTGTAATCTACTCATTTTCTCATCAAAATCACTGCGACTTCACTCGTGTTGTCGTTATCTACTTGCGTCGTCAGTGAATAACTTTGTTGCGATCGCTTTTGGCCTCTTGCCAGGATCGTATCTGGGGAATGGTTATAATATTAATTGGAGAAACTATTCGAATATTCATTGTAAATCGATTTTCTACCTAAGTTATTCATCAACAACAATATCATCGACGTTGTTGATTGTTGCCTGTATCGACAGATATCTTTGTTCATCATCAAAAGTGAACTATCGAAAATTGGCCACAGTTAGAACTGCAACACGCTATGTTATTCCAACAGTGATAGGCGTTTCCTGCTTAATCTATATTCATGTAGCATTGTACTATACAGTGGAACTTGGTCAATGTCAGCCCCAGATCGGATCGTATGCAAAGTTTTTTCAATACTGGTTTCTTTTGATCTATGCTCTACTACCACCCGTTTTGATGATCATCTTTGGTCTACTTACTCTTGCACATGTTAAAGAACAACGGAAACGTCTTGCAGCAGTATCGCCACAAACAAACACAGCACCAAGTAACATCCCTACCATCACTGCTACAGCTGTTGCCACTACCATCCAAGGTACTGGCACGACACAGCGGCAACGCCAACGACGCGAATCAAAAATGCTAGCACTAATTCTAATTCAAGTATTTACTTATGTCTTGTTCTCGCTGCCACTCGGTATCTTTCGTCTGTACCAACAAACCATCACAACAAGACCAGCAACCGAAATGGAAACCTTTCTCTATAAATTGTTTGTATGCATGCTCTATGTAAATTTCACGGTAACATTTTACACGACTACGTTGACTTCGAAAACATTTAGAAAAGAATGGATGAAACTGTTGAACGAATGGAAACAGCAGTGTATAAGACGACTTGTCTAGTTGCTGTTCGTTCGTTTTCTATTACATCATACATTTTATTGCTGACACACAAGACAGCGAAACTTCTCGTCATGAACCTTTTATCAATGTGTGTAATGCCTTGATAACGTATTTTAGTTTACGAAGATGAGTGTACTATACAAGATTTATCTCATTCGAAAGAGCATTACAGATGCCCGGGTCACAGAATTAGAGTCCTGCGGGTTTAACCTGATCCTGAAAGCTCTTTTTCAGATTCGGGATGGGGTCTAGTTCATCTGAACGGGTTCGGAATCGGGTTTGTTTCCGATTCCGATTCTACTAGTTTGATGTAGAGGAGATAAGAGATAATTCTAAATAAATTAAAAAGAATGGAAAATACGGAAGACGGACAGGTGTTTCGCAGTAGAAGTACAACCAACCAAGTGAATTTTATTTTTGTCGACGATCGAAGCCGACCGGATCCGAGGACTTTCCGATCGGAAGTTCTAGGAACTCTGGTCACGAATGTTCGATCGGAAGCCACTGGATTTTTCCGATGCTCGGATCCAACCATCGGATTTCATCGAAACCAATCGGCTTTGCTGCTGGTACCTCAGCCACTTTTCCCGCAGTGCACCGACCCGATCGGAACCGACCAATCCTTGAAAAAAAAAGAATAGAAATGCCAGGATCGTGAGTCGAACATGGGCTGACAGACACACAGCTCAGCTCTCAACAGAAAAATGGCAGAGTCCATTCTATTTTGACGTGGATAGCAGTAAACAAACTAAAAATATGTGAAATTATTCATGTTAAATTGAAAAAAATAATGATCACGCTGATATTGCAACTCCAACGCAATTGTTACAGGTGTGAAATTAAACCTAAGTAATGCTTTTATACTAGCTAATTTACCTGATACACCGAGGAATACTTTTTCATCCTTAACATTTTCATAAAATTAATACCAAGTGTGGGATCCGTGTAGAACTGTACATAGTTATTAAGTTCGTTTAATAGTTTTTGTGTTAGAATAGAGTCTGGTGAATCACTGATATTTTCGTCAAGCCATAGAAGAGAAATATCTTTTTTGAAAGTGTCTTTTGAACGAAGATTATGTTGGTTAACAAGGATGCCAGTAATTGCCATTTTATTCGTGTTCGTTTCATTTACTCAGAATAATAGCAGAAGTGAACTTGCAAGAAGGAAAGGAAACAGAAATGTAGTATTGTGATCACCTCAGGTAACAAGAAAGCAGAACAAGGAATAACACTTTTTTTGTTCTCCTGCAAACTGTGCCTTTATTTTTAAATGTAATTCATGTTTTTCTCTATTTCTGTGCACTTTATACTCCTTCGATGACGATAAAGAGATAACGTGTGTTATTCTCTAATTACTGTCGTTGTAGTGACGAAAAGAACAGAAAAAGCGATCGCTTCCTCTTAGATGTGATAGAAGTTCCGAAGTTCCGACTGCAGTCAAACTCTATGGTAGCTTCAGTAATGATTGCGCAATCGTCTTCTGCAGTTACGCATCCGCCAACACCTGTTTCGGCCTCTCCGCTAACTGTAACGGAAACAGCTTCTATAGTGGAATCAAATCTTGACACATATACGTCAGTTTCGTGTGAGACCAATGCAAATGATGATACAGACGAAAACGGACTCTACTCTAATAATATTAGTTGGATAATCGCAATTATAAACGATAGAAAAATTGGCCATCGGCTAACCCAATATCGATTTTGCCAGAATCCTTGGGCTTGAACAACAGCTGGTTGAACTGCGATATACTGAAGTTGACTGGATGGTGGTTGATAATACTTTTGCGGCTTCTCAGGATCGAAGTCTACTGGTTGATTATTGTATCTCATGACTGATGCTTGATGCTGTTGTCGATTTGGATACGTTGTGTTTTAATTCTTAAGTATGTGAAACCATAATAATAAGAAAGAGAAGAACGAGAATCACAATTTTTATACAACTGATAACAGTTATGTTTTAAATAAAGCATCATAAAAGTATATATAATTTTAGTTGATTTTTTACAGTAAAAGAAACACCAGGCATCTTATCATATGCTTTAACGTCTGAATTTTATTTAGATGCTGGGCGTCTTATATTTTTACGTTTCGTGCCAAAAATTAGAGCACTATAGACAAAGAGTTTTAGAATGAAAAGGAGAGAAACGTCGAATAATTTCACTGATTTTAGTCTCATTGCTTGTTTAATAAATGGTTTTCCATGTGCCGACCATCAAGAATGTTTTCATTTATCTGAAACGAGACAGGCGAGATAGATTTATTAGAAAATACTAAAACAAAATACAGTTCTGAGCAATCACAAAGCATAATTCTAGAAAACAACGGACGCTTTCACGCTCATTCTTTTTTTGTTTTGTCTACACCGATGTTGTTTGTTTTGTGTACTGAATCCATTCCAGAACAGTCTTTTTACCACTAGTATCACATTTTTGTCGTGCAAATGCCAATGCCACGTTAATATCACGGCTTGTTGAGAAGAAATCATTCGTTGTTATTAGTGCACCAACACTGTTCTGTAAACGCCTAAATTCTTCATTCGGTATTTTCTGGCCACGATACAGAGTCAATACGTCTGTTTTAGGCAGTAGTTGACTTTCTTCTTCTAACCGCTTGCACAAATCAATGATAAAGAATCGAAATAAGTAAAGTAAATCAATGTCTTCTGTACGAAGTGTTATTCAACAATTTATACAGAAAGCATTCATCTGTATACCATTCAATTGCAGTATCAAACGATGTACGTTCGTTCAAATTTCTTTACTTTTAAGAATTCCTTTTCGCCGTTTTGTGTTTGATAATAACTTCGACAATAATTGATCATATCTTTCTTTGCCTGCGCATCGTGTGGGTTGTTGTCGCAAGACATTGACCAACAGCTGGTACCAAAGGAAGGATGCGGATTCTTTCGACAAATCTTTTGTCGATTTCTGTTGTCCTTCTGGCTGCTTTGAATCGTACAGGCTGAAAGCTAAAGTTTCTTTGGATGTAATATTTATGGTCTCTTTGATTGGTGCAAGTAACGACGTTTGTTCTGTGAATACATCAACCAATACATCAACCAATGAGTGAATTTGTGCAAGAACTGTACTAGCTAATTTACCTGATACAAGGTGGAATACTTTTTCATCCTTAACGTTTTTCACAAAATCAATACATTGAACACTTGGGGACCTTCCTTCGTAAGTAAATGATAGATGAGTGAGTCACGGGTATACCACCAGATTGCTCAATACGGTTCATATTTGTCATCAAATTCTTCGAGTAGTGCTAATTGAAATGGATTTCCAGCATACTGTTTCCGACAGACATCAATTAATTCAGGTAGCAACGCAGATGGATGCTTGGGCAACTAAAGAATAAAATTTCTTAATATTTTATACATTGTACATAGACATCATTGATACATAGACTCCTTTTCCCGATTTTCTACTCCGTTTCGTTACGCGATAGTCTCAAAGTGACATAAACACCAGTTTTTAGACTGTCTATCGGGAAAAGGAGTCTGTAATAACTCCCATTGTTTTCAGATTCCAGGTCGTATTTCTCACTGAATTACAAACTTGAAGCTTTTGTCCAACAAGGATCGAAATCTCTGTTTCTACTCTACAATAAAACGAACACTTCTTTTAAAATAAATGATAGCAATAGAGGTTCGGCAGGGTTACAAACTTCAAAAAAATAGTCTGCAGGACTAGCTTCTTTAATAGAATGTTTTCTTATTTCTCTGTAGAGGCCCACCATTTCTTACGAAGTTTCCATGGAGTTTTTCGATATTGTTCCTTGTATATCTCGACTAGTTCGCATTTATTTAAATTGAAAGTTTACCATTTCTGGCCGTACTAAGGTTCACAAATTTGTCAAAAATTAAGCAAAAAAAGAATTGTTATTTTCGGGAAAAATCTAAAAATTCTGAAAAATGATAAGGAAACGAGATTGAAATTGAACTTCTTATACGCCATCGTCACACATGCTTCTGTTTTTTCTAGGCATCATTATTTCTGATAACAACAGTTGTTTATATGACACTTTATATTGTTTTTAACATACTCACTTTTAGAGCTGATCGTAGTCTAAATAATGATATGCGTCAACAACAGCAGTTTAAGCCTTTACCTATGGCTGAACCGTCCGATAACAAAATAACACCACCGGCATATAATCCACACCAATTAGATCAGTTTTAATCAAGCATAAATTTCATTTTATACATAATATGTGATTGTAACATTTTTGTTTCAGGCTGATTCATAACACTACAAGTCATTTCGGATGACTGTACATGTATTTTAACGAAAAATAGAAGGATTCCCAATATCCATTACGCGTTTATTCATTATTTATCATTACTATTAATTCCTCATGATTGTTGTTAATTATCATTCATATCATTTTGTTTTGGTTGCTCTCCTCGTTGTTTTAATTTAATTATTGTGCATTTATTACTTTTTGAATACTTATAAAAATTGGATAATTGAGAATACATACTATAGCTGAAAAGGCAAATTTAAATATCGAACACATTAGATATTTGACAGAAATAAAGACTATAATAGTGCTAGGTGAAGTCAGCACCAGATTCGACTGTTTTCCCCATATTTGTTCCAAGACTTAGTCTAATCCATCAGTATCCGAGCCACACGGATACTTAATTATCTATCTATAACATCAGAGAAAACACTGTATAAAATATTAAGAAATTTTATTCTTTAGTTGCCCAAGCATCGGAAAAGCATCAAACATTGCTCAGTGCATTTGAATACGTCGATTTACTAGCGATGCATCTAGATATAGATAAATGGTTTACTCGATGCTGCGAGATAACATGGCGCATGAATTGACATCTGCAGCCAGTTACACTCGGCACATCTAATTAAGGTCAATATTTTTTACTTTTCCACCTAGATGCTCTAGCAAGAGTTAGACAATGTCGTTTTCGTGTACATGATGTATTCAACATCCTTTGGTAAATGTCTTTCATCATGCGGCTTAGTACACATTCACTCACTGGAGTAAAAATCAACGTTTCAAAACACCATGACAAGTAAATGGCATAGGCGCTTTTCACTCAAAGTTTCATAAGAGAAAATTTTAGTTGATAAAACTGCGCGAACAAGCATACAATTCCCCAGAATAAACTCGAAAGACAACAAAAACAAGCTGAACAATTTCTTCAGAGTGCCAGTGAACGATGCACATACATTTTTGTACAGGATAATATATGAAAAGAGAACGGAATTATCATAGAATAGAAAAACGAAAAATAATTTTTAAAATTTTCTGAATTATAAGAAAAAATACAGGAAATATTATATAAATTTTATACATTTCTAAAAATACTGAAAAGAGAACAGTTAAAATGTTTATTTTCCAAAACAATCAAAGAAAGAACGGATTTAGATCTTCTTGAGAGAAAAGTATGACTTGACAGTGACATCTTCGAAAGAACCTGGAAGCCATTTAGCAGTACCTCGTATATTTTTAATGGATTTTGGTCTTTAACTTTCTTCGGTGGCACAAGGATATCATTATTTTCTCATGGTAAGCTGATAAAATGACGCAGCCGAGTGGGTAGCATAGTCATTCTACTGCTCGGTTTTCGAATTCAAACATAACGACTGTGAGCTTCCGTAGCGAATATCTCCACTTTAAGGAAGATGTAACTGATCATGCTGAGAATTTCACCCTATAGACTTTTTCATCATGCTGAGCCTGATGCAGAAAAAAAATCCAAAGAAACGTCAGCATCATAGGATACAGGGTGGCACAATGTAGTCATGGACGAAAATAGGATGATTTTGCGATTAAGATTTCTCGTAAATCAATATACATCTGCTATCCCAATATATATTTGGATTCTACCCTTCCGGTACTATACATCATTTGATTCAGCTCATCCAGCCGATCAAGAAAATAAAGATTTTAATCTTTGCAAAGTTTCTTTTATTTATGTTATTATGACATAGAGTTGGTGCTAAGATAAAAATGAAAACCATAAAGATTAGAAAGAGTAGAAAGTAGTCTTTACTACCCACAAAATCAAAAACGCTTTGTACATTTAATGTATTCAACAACAGCCCTATAAACAAATCGCATGTCATCAGTGTGAAGTGGGCATCGCAGAAGCAGGAGATCCATATTTATAGTGCCAAACTGCTGTAGAGTATGGAAAAGGATTTGTCGTGAGTTCGCATACAAAACACAGTGTAACAAATAATGCTTTAGAGTTTCACGCAATCCTGGCATGGATAAGACATGCTCTGAATGTGACTGGTCACAATTTCCATTATCCACTGCTAAATTATCTTATGCTTGCAGTGATGTAACATCGAGGATGAAACTATATTGTTTTTTAAATCGGCATTATATGAACGATAACTATGATTCAACCTATGTAGAAACCATTCGCTTACCTAATGATACATGAAATTTTTCTTTCTTAGAATGTGTCACGTAGACTAGACCTCATGAGGATAAAAGTAATTTAAGAAGAGATTGTTCCATCTCCGTCTCAAACGTGTGTACAGAACAAAGACGAGTTTTCTTTTTCTTTTTCGAAACTGTAAGAAAAAGAAAAACATGTCGTATTTGTCCTTGCTGCTTCTTCTTCTCGTTTCATCTTTGCTTCATATATATGTTGGAGTTGAACTAAAGCTCAGTTACCTTTAAACGGCAACTAGTTGATTCTAAAATCTGAAAGTCGATTAGTCTACTCTTCGATTTTAAAGTCACCTAGGTGGAACCCAGTTGCTTTTTAAATTTCGAAGTCAACTAGTTTAGATTGAAATGTAGAAATATACAATTAACTGGCAGGAAGTATATCCGGTTTTACCATTCTGAGTAGCAACTGTAATGGTGATTAAGGTTATATCACGACTATGAATAAAATCTGTCTTTAAGTAAAATTTGTATATACGTCAAATAGTCTAAAGAATGATCCGGTCTTTGATCACGTTGCATATTTCATATCAGCGAAAACGTGATCAGTCAGTTCATACAATCATATTGTCTATTCCACTTGCTGACTTTTTCGATTTATCCGAGTTTCTCTGATTTTGATATTTTTTTAAAATCTAGATTTTCATTTTTACATTACTTACAGTTATGGAAGTACTTTTCTAGTTTAAAGTACATGAGTCAGTACATTACCCAAATTTATTATACTCTAAAACTCTCAAGTCGTTTGCATTCATTGTCAATGAATTATGGGTCTTTAATTCTCATGAAAAAAGCCGACGCTAAGGGATGTTATTGTTTTATTGAGTGCCTTTTAATTTTTTCTCAAAACAATCATTGTCACAAGATTCAGTGTAATTAATAGCTTATGTTCTAATCATTAGTCAGGATCTTACAGATCAAGTCAATGCAGTGTTAGAGATTCCATTTAATTCGATGCCATCTCTAAGCCGTGATATATGTATACATTTTACTAGAAAAACTTCAATGAAGTATCACAGTTTTTCTACACGATAGCTTTTAGAATTATGCTCTGATTATTTTATAATACTCAGATTTTTCTGATTCCCACATTCTTTTACATTCCTGAGAATCCTCTGACTTCGTCCAATTTTCTGAAAGATCGCAAGCCCTTTTTTCTAAAAATGTGAAATACAGGATTGAATTTCAGCAGGGATATTGAATGATGTTCAAACGTGCAAAGTTCATAGAGTTAAGGTTTCGTGAGAAGATATACAAACAGATCAGCTTGGCCGGCTAATGGTAACCTTTGAACCAGATCGTGGAAGAAAATTTTTTTTCTCGAATCAGCCCTAGATATACATCATCAGACTTAGCTTTTTGTGCTAATCATGAATATCTTGCAGAAAAGTTGACAGTATATGTGCCGATTAATTAAGATTTATTGTCAGTTTTAACCGTGGAAAAAAGGATGACGAAACCTTCTGAATTGGAAGCACAAAATCGATGTCATTCTGTCACAAAAGTCATTCCGTCACGGACCATATTTTGGCTCTTTTTCTTTGATCTAAACACATACAAACAAAAATATGTGGAGATTCTGGAAACCCAAAGAATTCTCTACAACTCTTGTAGATGATTTTACCATGTTTTAGCCAATTTTTTTTCGAGAGCATGAGCTAACCAAGTTTGTTGGGTCTACCTTGAACGTTTTAGAATTCGAACTTTTCAAATTAAGCACACAGCAATTTTGGTTCTGCATTACTCGCTCAGTGATATAAATCTCTCCTGCTTTCTCTCGTCACACTACCGAAATGTCCTTAATGTGATTCTTCAGTAGCTATTTTCTTTTCTCAGGAAAACCTGGCATCTCGGATTAGTTAAGTTTTCTGCACGTTGCATTTTTCACTTACCGTCCGGTAAGCCAGCCACTCGACGTGTTCTCAGAATAAAAGCCAGCACATTATGCGATGACATCAATCTTTTGGTGCATTTCTCACTTTAGTGCGTTTTTGCTCTGAGATTTTCGCACGGTCACCATGTAAAACTGAGTCGACACACGAGGAGAGTTCTTAAATTTAATCTGGAAAAGAACTTTGTGACTTCGCGAAACTACGAAGAATTTATCTTTCTCTGCTTTAGCGATCTCTCTGATATTTGCTGTGTATTTACCTTGTGAATTAGTTCATTATTTTCGAATACTTTTACTGCAAAAAGTCGAGAAAGCAGCCCGACGCCTCTCAATTTCGACTGTCCAGAATTCATAGTAGATAGCATCCTGCTGTTATCATCATCGTGTTGCTAAGATCCTAAGACATGTGTTTGTAAGCAGAAACTTGTTTCGAAATTTTCTGAAAGTCCGGTTTTCCGGAGGATCTTCGGAAAATCAGCTCCGCTCTCAGAAAATTAACATACAAAATTAATAATTTTTTTTGCATAAGTAGGTAGTTCGGACGTTACTCTGCAAAATTATACAAGTCCCAGCTCTCCAACTATCGTTGTTTGGACAGGGCTCGCTTTCTCCGACTGCGTGTCTATCTCCGAGCAGACATCTCTGGGAATCTCAAAATGCCATGGAATATAGGTACTCGACTATAGTATACCACTACGATGCAGTAAAAGATTTTAATACTAGATAAAATTAGTTTACTACTATCTGTTCACAAATAAGAAAGGTGTGGTCATTTTTTGGATAATTTTTGATGAAAAGCAGCTGAGGAGCTCCGGTCTTTGCCATTCGAAAGACAAGACTTGAACGTATGCTTCTATTTGCAGAAAGCTTTTCAGAATGGTTCCTCAAAGCAGATTCTCTTTGAAATCTCCGAAAAAACCGACCTTGTCGCCGAAATTTCCTATAGAATTACATTAGTTATTTCTCACAGGTTGATGGTGCAGAGTGTTCTTTTTCAAACGAGAGTCAAATGAGACTTTGATTTTCAGTGATTCGGGTGTGATATTGCATTTTCTTGGAGTTCCAGGACTGGTACTCGGTAACTATTACTAGCCTCAGAAACCGGTGGCTTATAGGTGATTGATCGTGCTAAGTCTCGAGGTCACGTATGGGTGTTTTGAAAAATATTTTAAAATCTAGCAAAAACCAAGTGTTTTAATTTGTTAAAAGCCACCAAAAACATCGTTTTGTGCTTTCGGTTTTTTCATCACGTCTAGTGGACAGAATTAACCATATCCTGACCATATCCATATTCTTTCTAGTGACGCTTTAATACGGTATGACGGATAAAAAATGTTCACTATTTTACAGTAAATGCGAAAACGAAATACCCTCGTCATTGTTTTTTATACTCAAAATCAAGACAGATATATGATTTGTGAGAGTAGTGATCAAGCCTTGATCACTACTTTTTTATATATACAAAATAATGACGAGTATGTTTCTTTTTCACATTCTTACTGTAAAAAAACGAATATTTCTTATCTGTCATACTGTAAACACTACTAAAACGTCAATAAAAAGAACGCACACGATGGACATAACATTTATAAGAAAAAAAAGGTATTTTGTGTCATCGACACCCGCTTCTTATCTATTTCATTAAAATAAAGTAATAATAGAAATAGGTTCGTGTTGTGTATTGTCTGCGAAAAATTTATAAAGAATGGATAATTAATTCGTGCCTGTAATGCCTTAGTATATGCCAATTAATGTTTTTAGACCTGTTTCTCTCTTTGTCAACAGCAGTCAGCACTAAATTTGCTAGAAATAATTTAAGATCAACGGATCGTGTTAATGATGACAATGTAAATAACGAAGATCTTCTATGGAAACTTGATGCATGTAAAATATCTGAAAATTCGTTTTGTTCTAAATGTATATATCAATGATTAACTAAAAAGCCGAATACATGTCTGTTTAATTATGAATTTGAAGAAAGAAGATATCCATCTAATCTAATGATATTATTATCAAAATTGAAAATTGAACGTCATCACAAGTACAACGGATTTTCGGCTGTACTATCATGTGAATCATTAGAAATACATAAACAACAAACGTGCGACCATCAAATGAAACAATATAAGAGTAGTCAAAAACAAATATTGAATAAAGACTTTGATCAATATCAACAATTATGAAAACAAATTGATGTGTCGGGTGCAAACAGGAAGAAGAAATGAAAAGCCATAGTTTACAAAATCAACTACAACTAATGAAAGACCAAATCGAACAGCAACAACTTGTATATGATAAAAAGTTAAAATTAACGAACGAATATGACGAGAAGTTAAAACGCTCGACATACAACCTACGTGCAGTGCATTTCATATAGCAATCAGTGAGTACGACTTTGCTTCAGCCTTAGCTCTATCCGTCAGATTTGCTGAGCTGGTATCCGATGACTATTAGTAACCTCAGCACCGGATGGCATATGGTATGATCGATCGTGCTGAGTCTCGTGGTAATATTTTGAAAAATATTTTAAAATCTAGCGAAAACTAAGTCGCAAATTAGGGTTCTCCGTGGGGTGACACCTTACATTAAAAGTCCACTATACACCCAAAAAACATCAGAACGAGTTCAAAATCTCCAGATATGCACGTTCGGAGAAGATTGACTACTACACAACAGACAACTAGGTCATATTTAGGTGAAAAAACGAAAATGAGATTTTTCGAGATTTGAATAGTACATCATATACTTTGGCATACGCTCGATAACTTTGCCATTGCAAGTTTTTTTCTAGGTGTCATTTCTAGCGGGAAAGTCGACGATGAAACTATTTTAGGAAAACAGAGCGGTTAAGATAGAAAATCATTTTGCGACAAACAATAGACGATATTTATTAAAATTTTACATAGTCTAAAACTAGGTATTTCGCTCTATTCATTCGTAACAAAAACTTCTGTTTTGGCTTTTCCATGACTGAGAAAATTAGCTTTCTTTTTTTGCTGCGTGTTTTCCGAAAATGTGTGCTCAGTGTAATCTATTTCCAATTTTTTCCGAAGGTTCAAATTCAATGAATTTTTTACCGAAGGTAGACCTACTAACGATACATATATACTGATAGCGCAAACTAGCGCAAACGCTCCTTGACCGAGTTACAAATTTTCCAAAAAACTCTCGGTTTTTGAAATAAATTAGGTTTTTCTAGATTCATTAACATTTAAATTAAAAAATAACGAGATATTTGGAATCAGTGGAAAAACTGCGTCGAATGGTGTATAATTCAGCCGTATTTGTACGGACCCTTTTGAATTTAGTTGATTCCTTTGTTTCTTGCATGTGCGTATAGGGATTTTTGACAGAAATTTTAAAATTTGAAATTATCGACAAATGAAACCGTCTAAACACTATTTCTCTAGGTTATCGATGATTCTCTATCCAATGCAATTGTTTTTGAGCGCTTTAAAGGTTATCTAAGTGGTTTTCTAGAGACCGGATCTCCGGAAAATCACTTAGAAAACTTTTCTAGAAGTTGAAAAGCATTCCACCAGATAGAGCACACAAGATAACCTATAAAAAACGCGCTTTTAAGTTTCCTCTAGCTTGCAGGCCGCGTGCCTAGTGAAAATTGCCCACTGTGTACTATTGACTTCAAAATCGTTCAAAACTCCAAAATTTCGACCTTACTCCTGCTCCGCCTCCTACTATACCGATATTTAAGAATTTTTTAAGGTGATATTTATAATCAGAATCGATGGGCTTCCATTTAGAATGAGTCTTCGAGTGCACAAAAAAAGCCACTGTAATCCTGGTCGAAATTACCCACAAGTTTGGGCTTGGTCTCTTCTAGAATTATGTCCTTTGAAAAGAAGGATCTTTAACAGCTGTTAACTTAAGACATTGTATTCGATGTCGTTGGTAATAAGCTTTCTAATAAACTAAACGATAGTTTTCTGTATTTATTGTTGATTGCAGTTCTATAAATAAATTTTTGTTTCTTTATATAAGCGTGAGACGTTTTTACAAATGTCTTTAATAATTATTATGCCATGATCATCTTTCTGCTGTTTCTAGGTAAAATAATTATTTTGAAAAGATATCAAGAATCCAAAATGATGGCAATAAGGTGATACCAAATGGATATGCCGATTTCAACTGAGATAATGCCTGGTATATGAATCAGTCGTTTACAGAAGTAAATAGACAGGGTAGTGGTTATATAAATGCATTTAAATATGACAGCAAATATACAGCATATTCCAATCGTTTGATATCAACTAGTAGTCAACAAACATTTGATGTTCAGTCACTTGAAGATACTTCGATTTATCACGATAATTTACAATTGACATTAATTAGTTTACGTTCTAACGTTGAAATATATACAGAGAAACTGTTATATTACAGTGGAATTCCTATCGATTATATGAACTTAATTTGTCTAATATTGATATAACTAGATTTACATCTAGAGGTAGATGACATTCTGCTGGCTTTGATTCGACAACATTTGCACTAAGTTGTTTGAACTTATCTTCGCTAGTTTAAGTTCATTTCCAGTACAAGTAGTTTAATGGAATGGAAATTCGAAACTTTTACGATAATCCATTGGATGCCAGATTAATGGTCTCATAATTTACGCTACAAATCGGTCAAAAAACAAAACATACTATCCGATAGAAAATATAGAAATCAGAATCTTGTCGAAAAATAGCGTTCACAAATATATTTTCTTTTCATATTTTTCTTGAAATCAAACGTTACCGCTCTTTTTTGAAATATGTATCTCTCCTTTATCAGATCAGTCCATACTTTTTTTTACTAAACAACTGTATTTTATCGTACTGTTGATAAATCCTAAATCGCACTTGTTAGAACGAATGTAATTTTTACATAGAGATCATCACTGTTCTTTACAAAAGAAAGTTTCCATGTTGATTTTCTTTTTTTCGATTTATAGTGCATCGTACTATAGTTATTTTGATTGATTTTAGTACAATAATTTATTAGTCTAGTGATTCGACATTGCGTCAAATCTTTATCATTGTGGGTTGTTCAGTCTTTATTTTTCTTTTAGATCAACATCATGAATGCGAATATTGTACATAAAAATCCTAGTCCATATTTGAAAAGCAATTATGTATCAATATTCTTTTTTAGGTAAGTAAGAGAAATATTTTCTTATCTCCAGTAAACAAATTTGTATATATGTTTATTTTTAGTTGGTTAGGTAATTTATTGAGTAAAAGTCACAAAAAAGCACTAGAAGTATTTGATTTATATGATGTATTACCTGAGCTTAATTCTATACCATTAACAGATAAATTGGAAAGTAAATGGTTTGATGAAATAAATAAAGCAAGACAACAAAATCGTGAACCAAGTTTGTTACGTGCAACAATAAGAATGATTGGAGTTAAACCATTACTTAATGGTCTATTATTAATACCAGTTGTACGTTGATTTTAAAAACTAGAGAAATCAAATCCTTGTTATGTCGGACAAAACGTCCCATAAAGCTGTTGAATCACTGATAGTTCGATGATTGCTATCGAAATTAATCCCTTTGATATGATATGCATTTTGTGAAAGTTCTAGGTAAAAGAGGAGTGAACGTTTATGAGTAGGCATGCATCGGTTGCAGTTACAACCGGCTACAGTTAAAACCGATAGCTGCTTGATAAAAAATGATTATATTCTTTATTTTACAGCAGTTTTAATGATACTTTGAACTGTACATTCTGAAATTTTTAATTCATCGGACTTTTACTTTTTGACAAAAGGATTTTCACTGATTTTTTTTTAAATTTTAGAACGATTTCTAAATGATTCATAATAAGTTAAAGGCTAACGATGTAAGCTCAATTTTTTCGCAACTTACATAGCGCACATCAGATAATGTATACACTGAAATTTTATTCTTTAGCGAGTGATTGTTAGTTAAGAAATTAATTTTTATCATTCAGGTACACTTCAGTATTTTGAAAAGAATTTGTAATGACGATCATGAACAAATGAAACATTTTGAAACAAACGTATCGCAACAAAAAATGTTCGTTAGGTCATTCTACAAATGATAATACAACTGTCTTTGCGAAATTCTTCTAGTTTTTTATAAATGCAAACCCATGTGATGAAAATTGCGCGAAAATCGACGATTTAATCACAATTTGTCATGCCGATTAATTGTGAGATTTTATCGCGATAAAATCGCTCAAACTCACGATTTTTTCATCACCAACCGGTTCGAACGTTCTTTTCTTTTCGGTTTTCCTATTCTTAATTCTCACGTGATAAATACTGCCAATGAATTGCAATTTCATGCCCGATATCTCGTGAGATTATATTATCTGGGCAGTTTTTATTGCTGTTGTTCTCAAAACGAAAATACCAGAGTAAAAAGAACAAGTAAAACTGTATAGTTTTACTTGTTTTTGTTTACTAATTGTGTTTACTTAAGCTGTCACCAGTTCAGAGAACACTCTAGGCCTGTCTCAAGAAACAATTGATCTAAAAGGAAAAGTGGTAATCTAAAAGAATAAAACTGCCACTGAAATTCGTGTTTTTTATATATTTCTTCTGATGCAAAACAAAACGGTAATGACAAAAAGACAGAAAATCGCCGATTAATCGCGGTTGATCAACAAGAAAAGTCACCAAAATTTTTATTAGTTAGGGACGGCTGATTAACCGCAATTAATCACAAATATTCGAAAAACCAACGATTTTTTTCCGAGATCGCGATTAATCATTTGTTTTTTCGAAAATCGTGATTAATCGTCCAAACTTAGGCGATTTTGACAACATAGAAATTTACTAAAATTTGAAATTTAGTTTACGAATAAGCCGAATCAAATTTTGAAAGAATGATTGTCACCCTATGTAGAATAATATGACGAATATTTTTTGTTCCCACAGTTTTGTTGCAAAATGCTGCATTTAGTGAGAACTGTCGTCACGACTCATCTGTTGTTCGAAGGAGGGGTCAAGTTTACGTCATTAGTCTCAAGCTTATTATGTATTTCGTAAAAGTGGGTTTCAAATTTTACAGAAATACACTATCGTACGGGACGTACAATAACATCTTGATAGTGAACTTAGCAGAGAATTTACTTCCCCCAATGGTAGGCTTCGACAGAGATTCAGTTATTGTCTACCTATATCTTCGTATACGGAGGAGCTCCACCTATAGACATAACTGCTACCAATGCGGGGTCTACGTCACCGATGATAAGCTTTTTTTCTCTAATTGTTTGTCAGACTTACATAATGCAAAAAAGACTCTTCTTTCTGTATAATTTTACAAAAAATTAACCTCATTACAGATGGACAGTGATCCCTAACCTTTGTCTTTTCTCTTATTCAAGGAGCTGACAAAAGTACTGCAACCAGCATTGTTAATATATTTGCTTGGCTATTTTCAACCGTGTTCGACAATGTCAACATTAACAGGATGGTTATTAGCTTCAGGGATTATATTAATGCCAGTAATTACTACCATATTCTTTCATCCGTATTTTTATCGTATGCAAATGTATGCATTGCAATTAAGATTAGCTTATTCAGGGCTTGTTTATAGAAAAGTATGACACAACATGTAGTTGCTTTCAGTTTCATTTCAAATTCTTTCATTTTTAAGGTTTTACGTTTATCCGGTAGATCAGCAAATACAATTAGTTCTGGACAAATAACGAATATATTATCAAACGATGTTAGCCAAGTTGAGACAGCATTACATTTTATTAATCATTTATGGGTAAGTGTATTCGAATTCGATTTGCATTGTGAGTTTTTGCTTATATGACAAGGCTTTATCATTACTTAGGTCGCACCATTAGAAGTAATGATTGTTCCTATTTTCTTTTGGTATTTTGGTAGTAATTTCTATGTATCGTTTATTGCTATTGGTTATACAGTGATGTTATTCTGTTTTCAATCTTTATATGGAAAACTTCTTGTTAAATTTCGGTATGTTTGATTGCTATTCAGCTTCGAAAATGTATCGCCTATAGAAGTATGAAACCCGGCTCGAAGGACGGATTCAAGTTTGAGAATTTTTTGTCAGAAGGGGTTCGAGGTTCACCTCTTTCTCCTCTTCCCCATTATCAATGCTTGTAATACCAGTCAATTCAGAAATATTGGAACGTGTATTTGGTGAAATTGGATGAGGAATATTAGAAGCAAGAAGACAACAACTGACGAGGGAAGTACCCCAACTGATAAATCGCTTTTTCAACGAAACCGAGTGGACTATAGGTAGTCGACGATGCTGATTCTGAATATCACCATGAATGTTGCTGCTAGGCCTTCAAAGATCGGTCTTCTGGAACACCAGTTTTCGAGAAACTCTAAACAACAACCAAAACATTTCTTAATGAGGCGTAATTGTAGTCCATAAATTTCTGATTAAAACGAAGCATCTTCCAGCTCTACACGACCTTTCTTTGCAAAGTTATAGAGTTTACAAGAAAAGCCCTAAATTCATTTTTCGTTTTTCTTTCTGTAGCTCTGAGGTGACAATGAACATTTAGGGCTTTTCTTGTAAACTCT